GACGCTCTTCCGATCTCCCCAAAACCCCAAAACCCCAAAACCCCACAGTGACAATTTGTATGTGAATTAATGTAAATTGAATTATAGATTATTATTTGATCTAGATAAGACTAAAGCTTATTGCTTTTTCAAAGGATTTCCCACTGATTTCTGTTGAGGTTATACTTTGTAGCATTAGCATCTAATGTCTTATCAAATAATTCGTTCATAGATGGTGGACCACAGACCCATATTTTTCTGAGATCAGTCTGAGTTTGCACCTCTAATTATCTCTGTATGAATTGCTCATCCCATCTCTGCTTTGATTAGCTACTGATTCTAAGAATCAACTCGAAGTTTTTCTCATCATTTTTGCTCACTATATCTTATAAACCTTGAATTAAATCATGGCAAAGGACTTGTTCTTCATTGGGGAATGAAGCATAGAGAGTGAATTTAAACTTCTTTCTGTCGAGAATCTTGTTTTGAACATCATCAAGAAGGTTAAGATCTTATCTTATTAAGAAAGCAACAAGATCAACAAAGACTAAGATGCCAGTTCCAGCTACAAAGGCAACATGGTTACCTTCTTAATGTATGCCAAGACCCTTCCCAAGAAGTCCCTTAATCTAATAAAGATCATTGTAAGCGGTATGAATTCTATGGGAAACACCTCCTCTCTTATTGTAGTTCTTTACTGTGCAAACAACTTCACTTTTATCTGAATTCCAGTTCTCTTAAAGAACAGCATTATTGAAGAGGATCCTTTCTCCAGCTTAGAATTATCTAAGAGCATTACAAAGCTCATCATAAATTTCTTTTTTCATGCAAGTGCAGACAGTATAGTGTCTCTTTACCTTTGAATTAGAGAAACTTCTGATTAAAAAGTGCCTGCCTATGGCAGTGACATCAGTACTAGATGGAAGTTTAAAGTGGACTTCTGGTCCTTCAGCTTTAAGGGTGAATGTGTTTGTATTTCTACCAACCTCTGTAGAAGTTACAATCCTTGCAGCGAATGTTTTTGCTTTCTCTTCTAGTCTTGCTATGACAAGAGTATTTACTATACATCTTGCCATGTTTGAATGTGAATGAGGACTGCATCCTCCACCATTTTCGAGAGTGTATCCACCATAAAAGAATTTAGAAATATCTCTTCCAATGTTGTAATCAAGTAAGAACTTTCCACCTGGATGAGATAACTTGAATTTCGAGATGTCAAGTACCAAATCATCTAAAATGACTAGCTGTTCTCCTCCAGCAACTCTTTTTTTAAATTCTGATCTGAGGATGGTTACCTTAGGTTCAATGAAGTTATTCTCTCTCTCTTAAAACTTATAGTAAATACCCTCGCAAACAATGAGTACGAGGAAATATAAGCAAATATGAATGATGACGTAGGGGTTATTATCGTTATTAAATGAGGACCATTTTAATCCTCCAGTAAGAATGGCAAATTATGATAGAGCAATCAAAGTGTAACCGAATATCTATAAAATTGAAATTAATATTAGGATATATTTTAAGAGTTTATGGGTATTAAGTATTACCTTATGACCTAATTTCATCTTAAGTACAAAGCCAGTGTTCCATCTCAAGGTATTGAGAAGTATAGCCACTACAAATCCACCGATGGGAAGAAGCCCAACTCCAACAAAGCAGCCAAAACCTGTTGCATGATGATACTCGCGCTCAATCTTAAATTTACGTTTTTATAATGCTAGGTACCCCATTACAAAGGTTGTAATAACTATCAGCATTCCACATACATAATGAACATACTTATTCCATTTCCAAAAGATTTTCAGGTATCTAAATATTGAATATGATATTGATGACAACATTTTACCTATTAAAAGCTATTTAAACTAATCCTAAAATACCCCAAGCAGCCCATAAAATCCATCCATGAATGTAGTATAATGAATTATCAGTTCCACCATTATCAATAATTCCATCAAAAGAGCCATCAAGATTAATTGTGAATTCAAAACTTCCTGTTTCTTAATGCTCAGTCAAGTAGCTGCCTTTTGTATTCTTTGCCCAAATTAGCGGTATTTGAACTTGCTATAATTCAATAAAATAATAAGACTATTAGATCTACAAATTATCTACTTACTCTTTAAATTTTATAGTTATATTATGGATTTGGGTCAGGTACAAATGGTCTCTTCACTGTTATAATTTTTTTATTCGTATCTACAGTTTCTTCTGTCATCTCTAGAATATTGTCGCCCAATGCAGCAGGCCTAGTTTCAGAGCTTGAGTACAGATTTTCTGATTAAGCTTTTTAACGAGAATTGTAAGATTAAAATGAGATCATGTTAGTGCCATACATATCCTTTCCAAATCCAATAGCAAAGTATTGTTGAAATGGTAAAGTGACTTTGAATTATATGTAGTCATCTGGAGTTACACTCATCTCAAAATGATGCTGCCCAAAATCTTTAGTCAGAGTGTTGATAACCTCTTTTTTATTTTTTGCTTGGTAAAGTTGCTGCAATATAGCTAATAGTAAAACATATCCTATTATCTTCATGAGAATTTATTATTATAATCCATTATAAAATCTTCAATATAAAAATAATTTAATTAATCTATAATCAAGTTGGAACTAGTTATTATATGCTAACATTTCATTACGGGGTTTTGGGGTTTTGGGGTTTTGGGG